TTTTATATATATATTTTTTTTAGTCTCATAGGTTGAGACTAAGACCAAGTATGATATCACAGAGCACATAGGATGAGACTATGGTCAAGTATGATATCACGGAGCACATAGCTTGAGACTACAGATTGAGACAAAGTATGATATCACAGAGTAAATAGATTGGGATAAGGACAAAGTATGATATCACAGTATATAGTTTGAGATTAAAACAAAGTATGATATCACAGAGTAAATAGACTGGGATTAAGACAAAGTATATAAATTGGGATTGAGACAGAGTATGATATCACAGAGTAAATAGATTTGGATTAAGCAAAGTATGATATCACAGAGTAAATAGATTGGGATTGAGACAAAGGATGATATCACAGAGTAAATAGATTGGGATTACGACAAAATATAACAGAGTAAATAGATTGGGATTAGGATAAAGTATGATATCACAGTACATAGATTGAGATTAAAACAAAGTATTATATCACAGAGTAAATAGACTGGGAATAAGACAAAGTATGATATCACAGAGTAATTAGATTGGGATTGAGACAGAGTATGATATCACAGAGTAAATAGATTGGGATTGAGACAAAGTATGATATCATAGAGTAAATAGATTGGGATTGAGACAAAGTATATAAATTGGAATTGAGAGAGAGAGTATGATATCACAGAGTATATAGATAAGGATTAAGCAAAGTATGATATCACAGAGTAATTTTATTGGGATTGAGACAAAGTATGATATCACATTAAAAAGATTAGGATTGAGACAAAGTATGATATCATAGTATATAGATTGGAATTAGGACAAAGAATGATATCACAGTATACAGATTTCGATTAAGAAAAGCATGATATCAAAGAGTAAATAGATTCGGATTGAGACAAAGTATGATATCACAGAGTAAATAGATTGGGATTAAGACAGTATGATATCACACAGTATATAGATAACGATTAAGACAAAGTATGATATAACAGAGTAAATAGATTGGGATTGAGACAAAGTATGATATCACAGAGTAAATAGATTGGGATTAAGACAGTATGATATCACACAGTATATAGATAACGATTAAGACAAAGTATAATATAACAGAGTAAATAGATTGGGATTGAGACAAAGTATGATATCACGAGTAAATAGATTGGGATTGAGACAAAGGATGATATCACAGAGTAATTAGATTGGGATTGAGACA